ATTAAAATTGATGTTATTAAATTTTGGTGATTAAAAAGTCAAGAGGGTGGGGAGGATAAAAAGGGTCTTTTGTATCTCCAGTAGGGTTGGACTTAATGAGAATTTTATATGTTACTAGCATACCCATCGCACATGGCTGCGATCTCAGAAAAACAAAATTCAAGCAAACTCATTATTATAAAATTCAATTTACAATTTAACACTTTTATTGAAACTTATTATTATTAACTTTCATTGGGAAAACATTTCAAAGTGTCGTTTCAATTCTATTTATTTATTGGAGTGTTTGTGGATACACGATATTTTTTGTTTTTCCGTCTGGTGCGTACACGAATAAATCAGAAGGTTTTCCAATGCGTGAGCTGGCCACATACAGTTGTCCGTGCGAGAAGCACAGATTCTCCAAATTTAGCCCACACACTTGCAGTGATTGTCAGAAATGCAATATTCCCTATTTTTATATATTTTTTAATCCTTTATAATTTTAACTATTTAATTGCTCCTTCCTCTCTTCCTTGGCATGTTGTGAAATTTCTGTTAGTTGGATAATAAACCGTTTTATTGTAATTTGTCTTTTTAAATTATTTTGAGTTGATATTAAAATTTGGAAAAGGGGATCCCTAGATCGGTAAAATAGGCGAATTTCCTCCTACAACTTCGGTTGTTGTTCAGGATACAGTTACGGTTTTAACAAAGTTCAAGCAAATACATAATTAGCAAAAAAAAAAGTTGAAATAAAGTGATTAAACAAAAATTATTACAAATATCGTAAATAACAGTTCACAAATGCATGTATAGAGATATTTTTTGGAGGGGGGAAATAGTCTTCACAATCTGAAATCGATTGAACACACAGTAAAATGCTCGTATACATGCACGCCATAAATAAATGTACTATGCCAGAAACCTTCGCGGGAGTGTATTAAAAAACTTCCCAAAGTTTCATGGCAATTGGATAAATGGTGTGGTAATGCATGAGGGACAGACGAACAAACAGACATATTCATATATATATATATAGATTAGCATTTACAATTTTTTATAAAATCCATCCTTACCCTCAAAATTAAGCTTTTGGCCATTTTATAACAGTTAAAAATATAATAAGTTTTTAATAATAAAATATCATAACAGATGACACCACCAAATGTTGATGGGAAAGTTAAGCAACTTGTTACTGGATTTTTCTGAAATAAGAATGTTAGATTGAGATTGCCAATTAATCAAATACAATAACAAAAACACTATGTTTGACTTCCAATTCAAAAATCTTGTTCTAGAGATGAAAACAAAAACATTGTTATAAATAGATACTAACATAGACATAATTTGTGTACATATGCATATACAGTATACATACATATATATATATAGTCAAGTCCGCATAAATAATATATATATATATGTATGTATATATACATAAGCATGCATGTATAATAGTAACATGATAAACAGAAATTAAAATTTAAAGACAAACTAATAAATTATTCTAAAACATAGAAATATGATAGCAAAATACTATTAACATAAAGTTGGTCAGTTGATCAGCTTATAATGTGTGACAATTTAATTCCCAGAATGTACATTTAAAAAATAAATATCCCATTTCTGGAAGCAGACTTGGAACTCATTTTCCAGAATACTGCCAAGCAGCTGTCTTACATTTTTTTGAATATCAGTTATATTAGAAAATCTTTGTCCTTTCAGTAAAGCTTTTAATTTTGAAAATAGCCAGAAGTCACAGGGAGTTATAGGTCAGGTGTATAGGCAGGATGATCTAATTGGGTATCACTTTATTGGCCAGAAAATGTCTCTCAGTGAGTGCACTGTTATTTGGCACATTTTAGTGATGAATTGTCACTTGTCAGGTGACAGTTTGGATCTTTTTATTCAAACAGAATCTCTGCAGTACCATACTTTTAAATAGCATTGTTGGTGTATTGTTCATCCCTGTTCAATAAATTCTTAGTGGACTATTCCCTTGTGATCAAAGCACACCAACATGGTCTGCTTTGGCTCTGAGCACAACATGCGTGCCTTTTTTAGGGCACGATGAACTAGGGGATTTCCATTGCATGCTCTGGCGTCTTGTTTTTGGGTCGCACTGTAATGTTTCAGTAGTGCATTTTCTGATTTTCAAATTTAATAATAATATGTTGCTCTAAATTTCAGTCACCTATTTATATGCCAAAGATCACATGCAGGTAACTATTATCTTCCCAATAGCTAATTAACAACTAGCTCTATCAGCTTGAAATTAGTTCAAACACGTTTGAACATGAATGCACATTTCATTTTGATATAATTATGTAATGGGCAACACTACATGGCCATTATGGGAATTAAATTGTTAATGTTGTATTCTTGAAAATTGAAGTATTCTACAATAAATAATGTTACAAATCTATTGTTTATGTAATATTTAGTCAGTTATGTAGCATTCAGGAAAGCCATCACATGCTTTGGCTACATATATTAAGTGTTTCATAAAAAATTTTTATTCATATACAATTTTTTGTATAAAATATGCATAATTTTCATATTTTATATAAAAAGTTCTTTAATAACACCATACTATTGGTAGAATATTTAAAAATTTTGATCAATCATTACTTTGTTTTGAATGCTTTTTATTCCTTATGTATGGATGTATGTATCTTACTCAATTAAGTAGCAAAATCACTAACTGATGACTAATTATTCAAATTAAGGTAAAGCTTAAATTTATCCTAATTTATGCTGTATTATTTATTGCTAAGAAAAGATTTATTTAAACTTTGTAACAAATGACAGTAGTATCAATACAACATATGTCAAGACTAACATAGAATAAGAATAAATAACACTAACACTATACCACTAATATGATACTGGTGTGTCTTTGTAAAAAAAATGATACTGGTGTCCTTGGTTTCAATACAGACTTTTTTTTTTTAAAACAATTATTAGTTTTTATTTTAAGTGAAAATGAGATGGCAATGTTTAATATAAAAAACACAAATATTTAATAACTCATTCTTAAATCAATATTTAAGAATGAGTTAGCAAGTGATTGATGATTTGGAACTTTAGTATTATTATATTCTCATCAAAGATCGGTTCAATTACTAATCAAGTAATTTGTTTTTTTTTTTATATTATTTAATAATCTGTACAATATATAATAGTACAAGCTCATAACTAAGAAGCTTTATCCTATAGATATAAATATGCTGTTTGAAACGATTTTGAAAATTTATCTACGACTAACTACTGAAATCATCATAACCTTTCAAGAGAAAGAAAAATTTGTTCATATTAAGTATTCATAATTGTGAAAATAATAATTTAGAATATAAAACTATTTCAAACAATTGTATAAAATTATATTGTAGCACTGAAAACATCATCAATTCCGTTAAAAGTACAGAAGAGTAGGAAACAGGTTTGAGTTAAATTTCTTATTCAGTGATACTCTCTTTTCATACAAAAACCACAAATAGAACGAGGAAAAAAATTAATTGCAACAATTTTGCAAGCTCTATTTGAAATACTATTCTGTTTAATGCAACTGCAATCTTCCAATTGAAAATTATTATGTCCACAATCATCATGAATACAATTGTAGCATAAGTATTGATAGTTATTGGTTTAGAACTATGCAAATAATTTTAATAATTACAAAATACTATTTTTGGACCAAATATATTTTCTAGTAACTCACTGGATGACAAGCTTAAAAAAAAGTTGAAAAAAAGCAGGACAAGCACATCGTGAGTAAGGCACCACGTTGAAAAACTTAATTTGTTCATGCCTACTCGTTACAATTCATTTATAGAATTCTATATACACACATGAAAAAATTTAAACAATGATTTCTTTAAAACTACTGCTCATTAGCACTAGCCATGTTACCATGCATTAGTAGAAAGAATGTACTAAAATGCATTAAAATTTCAGGAAAATTGAACATATCAAAGCTTCTATCGCCCCTTGTTAGAATTACTAGTGAAAATCAGTAAAACAAATATTGTATAATTCTTTATTTTACAGATATAATAATTTATTTCTTACTTTAGAACATTGCAAACTTATAAAAGAAACCCAAACAAAACAATTTTGTTATAAACATTACTCAAATTTCATCAAAGTTAAAATTTTTTATAAAATTATTATTTACTTTCTAATATGGTTGGTTAGTTATGGAGTATTTAAAAAAGTTATGCAAAAAAAAAAAAATTCTTCATAATTGTCCCCTCTTAATATATATGTACATTTATTATTGTTTTCAATACATGTACTATTAATAATCCTAATACACACACAATTCTGTTTTCACACAATGTTTTGACCTAACACATTTCAATAAGCTTTCCTTTGTAAAAACGTCAACACAATTTTAATTTACATTTTCTAGAAAAGGAAGTGTCTCTGATTAAAAGAAATTCTTAGAATTTGCTTATAGGGCTGCTAAGCATACTCAAATTCTAAGACTTGACCTTTTCTTTTTTACTTATTTGAAGATGTTTAGTAACAGTCAATTTTTCTTACTGTTTTTATCCTGCAATCAAAGCAGTACAAAAAAATTTAATTTGAAGTTAACAAATTTTTTGTATGATTGAATTTCTTCCAATATGGAATAGTTTTTGTATGCCATTTCATGTTAAATCTTGTGGTATTTTGGCATTTAACTGAAAAAGTCAAATAAAATAAATTTATTAAATTCTGCTAATAATAAATCAGAAGAACAGCTGTTACTTAACTAAATTGAAGTATTTTATTTAAACATGTCCTAATTGGTTTATTATATTTTTACTAGTTTATAATGTCTAAACCCAATCTTCCATTTTACCATATAGAGTGTATTTTTTACACTTTTTTTTAGACTTTTCAGGAGTGTCTCCTACTGTGCAAGAACAGAATTGGGTGTACTTACCAATCTTTCTACAGCATTCAGTCTTATCACAAGTAAGATATAAGATAGATTTTTGTTTTTTTTTTATGTATATATGTATCTTAAATACCTAAGGAGTTTTGAAAATGTAAACCATAAATTATTACTGTATTGTTATATTTAATATTTCTTGAAGTGTTTAAGGCATGATTTTAAAAACTAGCTAGTAAAATACTTTTGTTTGCTAAAGAATAATCTATTTCACTTATATATTTAAATAATCTATCACACTTTAATGTAAAATCTAACACAATTTTTTCACTAAATAGTTTATTTTCATTAAAGAACTTTTTCAATACAATCATGAAAAACATCATTTATATAAAAATGTCTCAATGATGGCTGTTTAGTCACTTCACTGTTTAATGTCAAATGCATAACATTAAAATAAATTTATAAACTTTGTTATGTTACCATTGTCAGAGGTGAACTTTTTCAATTTTAAAAAAATGGGGTCGTGCTCCGAAGAATAGTATGTAAATGTTAATAATTTTATTTTATACATAATTTATCTACATTTTTAAAAAATAATGATTTTAGTAAAAATTGAACTGAGTTACAATAAAATAATGACATTTTTGTACTCAAACTTTTTCAATGTTGTAAATACATTTAGTATATCCTGTGTCTGCTGCTTAAGGTGACTAAAGGCATGATTTTTGGCCTATACCTGTAAATAAAATAGATTTTGAAATTCTGATGTAAATATAACAAAGGAAAAAAACTAATATGAAATTTTACAAATGGAAAATTGCATCATTGTGTTTTGTTTCAGAAAATATGACTGTAGACACAATACAAACATTATTCATGGATAACAGATAAAATTAGGAGGAGAAATCTCAAACTATAAGATAATAAAATGCATATAATTGTCTTTTTTATAAGGCAGTCACATCATAACTTCCATTAAATGTACAGTAAGACCCAGCTTAACATGGGGGGGACCATTCCTAGATGACAAAGCACTAAATGAAACATCATTAAATGAGGTCATTTTAACAGAGTAAATAGGGAAAGATGAAAACATGATGAAAAATAAACAGATTTAACTTTAATTTTAAATTATTTTTATATTAATTTGCATAATAATATATATTAAATAACAAACATATGCACACAGAAATGTCAAGTTCATTTTTTGTGATGAAGGTCCCTGCTTTTCTGAAATTCTTTTTTTCACATTAAAGTCTTGTAGTTTCATTTGTCATTTTTTTCCTTTCCTTAATTAAGCAAATGTCGGTAGCAGAAGATTGCATTCAAAACACCTCGTTTTGCTTTTACACTCTTTCAAAATCTGGATCATTCGCTACAATTTGATCAACGATTTTGGTTCTCGTTACAAAACTTTTACTAAGAAAATCTGCAGAGAAATTCTTTGGGTTCTTCATTTACAGAATCTCTATTTTCCAGTTCTACACAAATTCTTTGTTCTGTCAGTTCTTGAAAGTCATCATTGGTAAGGCTCTCACCAGTAACCTGCAGTAACTCCTCAATATCCTGCTCAGCTCATCTACATCTCCTAGTCCTGCTGTATTGATTAGGTTGACAATTTGGTCAACCTAACAATATAGCGATAGGCTCTTCTTGTTGAGAATTCTTGGATACCTTCAGTCATAACTTCAACATACTGTTCGTGCATTTATCAGTTAATTCTTGCCAAGTGAAGTCAATATTTCCTATGGCATCTGTGATGTTATATTTTTCCCAAAACTGCACCAAACAAACATAGAATTAAGGAAAGTATGGCACTACGACAAATTGCCACCTTTTGCTGATTGGTTCATGTTCATGAATAATCGTATTATATACAAATTCAATGAAATGCTGCAATAATTTGAATCAGCATAAATTTTGAGCTTTTTTTAAGACTTTGAGCAGACCATGTTATATCGAATCAGTGTTAAGCAAGGACTTACCGAATTTACACAATTTAAAAATCATTTCAGATGGAAGTACACAAATTTTGACATTTTAAATAACTGCAGAATTCTAGTAGTTTTAAAATAAGTAATTTGAATGATATAAATGATAAAGCATTAAACATTAATCAAATAATCTTTAATATAATATTTTTTATAACTTATTAAATGATCAAAATCAAAACAAAGTTCTAAAACTATACTTAATAAGATATGGCAAATATATTTATAACTCAAAATCTTCAAATCAAATTCCACAAATTAAGAAATCTTCCATAAACTATATGTAAACAGATAAACCAATCATGATCATAAAAGGTAATTTTCTTTTATTCCTGCAGGAAAACTTACACTCACAAGATCTACAAAACTTCATATAGGAAAGAGTAACCATTTCTTAGTATACCATTTATTATATTTGAAAACAAAGCCATTTTTATATATATATATCTTATGCAATCTATGGTAATGCATATAAATCTTATCCAATCTGTTTCAAGGTAATGGTCATGGTAATGCATATGTATATATGCTTTACCATGACCATTACCTTGAAACAGATGCTTCTAACTCTTCACTGAGCAACCAGTGGCCTTAGGTTGATTTATTTTTTAAACTCTTTTCAACATAAATGAAAATGGTATACTGTGTAAATTTTCATAATGGTAATTGTCATGGGTGCACATATATCTGTTGTTATCATCTTTTCTTATGAAAATGCAAATTACCACTGGTCAAAAGTGACCTACAAAATATTAAGGTTTAAATACTAACCCTTAATATTTTCTATTTATCAAATTAATTGAATTTAAACCTTTTCGAAACATGTTCTTTCCAAAAGTTCCATTAATCATTCTCTGGGGTGAGATTTAATCTCTTACCAAACTAAAAAGCATGATTAGAATTAAAATAAACACAGATTGTCTCCTATTACAGACTGCTCAATTTTATGTATGAGAATAATTGAAAAAAACATTGAAATTTAAAGATTTTCCAAAAATGTTTTAGAGAAATTAGATTTAAATTTCTAGGAAATATAAATTATATCTTGATGTTTGAATATAAAATTGTTTACTAGAATACACTATTATGAATATTTAAATGCTAAATTAACTAGGCAAAAGAACAATTATAGAAACATTAGGTGTAAACCAACTATTTTTATAACATTTATATCTGTGTATAATTTGTTTGCGTAACATATGATAAAAATGACAAAATTAAAACTGCTAAGCACATGTTTTACCACAATGTGTATAAAAGGCACAACTTATTACATATATGGCAATGGAGATATATTACTTCTTCAGTCAATCTTTTTGCAAACTATTTTCTTTCTAAAGAAAAGAAAAAAAAAAAATGTTTATACTCAATAACCATAAACACCACCATAAAATCTATATTCAAAACGTCTACAAAATATTTAACATAATCACCTTAACACTCTTCAAGATCACACGCTTACTTATGACGATAAACACCCTATCAATATACTTAATGGCAAAAGGCCAAGAAGAACACACCCACAAATAATACACTTTAAATATTCCAACTAGAAAAAGAAAATAGCAAGAAAAACTAACTCCCATTAACAAATTTTAACTAAAGAATGATAATTATAATTCACAAAATATTTCAAAAACTACAACTTAGAAAAATTAATAAACTGCACAATTTAGCGTGTATCAAAAGAAAGTTTTCGATATAAAAAGATAAATTGTTCCGCAGGGACGACACTCATTTTTCTCCCTTTGTAAAAATTATAATTCCAGTTAACCGTGCGAATACGATTTGGCAAACTTTTCAAAAAAGCGTTTTCATAAAGCTTCCGGAAATAAGGACAAAAGAAATTCCATCTTTTCGGGAAGAGAACAGTGAACATAACGCCGGGCGTCGTACGTCGGCAATATAAAGTAACATCGTTTAAGTTACGGCAAGGCAACACTCGGACGATGCCTTCCGGGAGGTGTTTTTAAGAGTAACCCGTCCCTATTTGGCCCTTACAGAGGTTAAGAAAACCTGGAAAACTCCACGCGCGAACCCGCAACCGAACTCCCAGCATTCGGGGAATAGAACCGCCGGGCCAATATGAAAAAGTAACACGGATTACCAATTATAAATCCTAATAAGCGCTCATCACAGGAAGATAATGCCAGTGAAATCTGAAAAAATTCTAGAAACTTTCTTCAGGATATTTATATAAATTCTAGAACCACGTCGGTCCAATAGCCTACAAGAGCAACCGCCGCAATGAGAAGTGGAGCATTCTAGAATGTTACAGGGACACTGTCAGGGGGAAAGGTGACATTTTCGAATTAAATGGCAGTCCGAGGTCAGAGCAATGGAGCTTATAAATATATAAGTGAAAGTAATTTGATTTTTGAGCACACAAACGACGATTAACTGATGAAACGATGCTTACTTGCCACTCCAAATAGAACTTCTTTTCACGTATTAAATCCAAGAAAAGATTTTAAGAGTTCGGCAAGGTAACTAGCCTAGTGGAGCGGATCTTTTCGATACGTAGAGACGAAAGATTGAATTTATACTTGCAGAATTTTCTTTTCGAATTTGAAACTTAAGCCTAAATTCTTACGTTATAGAAGTTGGCCAGGTTCGCCCTCTGAGCGGCATCGTCGAAAAGTAAGTAGTACTGATGCACGAACGATCTACCTATCGTGTCGTACTGCGGATTCAAACTCATTTTCGGTACGAATTCCTCTCGCCTACTTTTCCTTCACTCTTGGCAANTTGAAAAAAACATTGAAATTTAAAGATTTTCCAAAAATGTTTTAGAGAAATTAGATTTAAATTTCTAGGAAATATAAATTATATCTTGATGTTTGAATATAAAATTGTTTACTAGAATACACTATTATGAATATTTAAATGCTAAATTAACTAGGCAAAAGAACAATTATAGAAACATTAGGTGTAAACCAACTATTTTTATAACATTTATATCTGTGTATAATTTGTTTGCGTAACATATGATAAAAATGACAAAATTAAAACTGCTAAGCACATGTTTTACCACAATGTGTATAAAAGGCACAACTTATTACATATATGGCAATGGAGATATATTACTTCTTCAGTCAATCTTTTTGCAAACTATTTTCTTTCTAAAGAAAAGAAAAAAAAAAAATGTTTATACTCAATAACCATAAACACCACCATAAAATCTATATTCAAAACGTCTACAAAATATTTAACATAATCACCTTAACACTCTTCAAGATCACACGCTTACTTATGACGATAAACACCCTATCAATATACTTAATGGCAAAAGGCCAAGAAGAACACACCCACAAATAATACACTTTAAATATTCCAACTAGAAAAAGAAAATAGCAAGAAAAACTAACTCCCATTAACAAATTTTAACTAAAGAATGATAATTATAATTCACAAAATATTTCAAAAACTACAACTTAGAAAAATTAATAAACTGCACAATTTAGCGTGTATCAAAAGAAAGTTTTCGATATAAAAAGATAAATTGTTCCGCAGGGACGACACTCATTTTTCTCCCTTTGTAAAAATTATAATTCCAGTTAACCGTGCGAATACGATTTGGCAAACTTTTCAAAAAAGCGTTTTCATAAAGCTTCCGGAAATAAGGACAAAAGAAATTCCATCTTTTCGGGAAGAGAACAGTGAACATAACGCCGGGCGTCGTACGTCGGCAATATAAAGTAACATCGTTTAAGTTACGGCAAGGCAACACTCGGACGATGCCTTCCGGGAGGTGTTTTTAAGAGTAACCCGTCCCTATTTGGCCCTTACAGAGGTTAAGAAAACCTGGAAAACTCCACGCGCGAACCCGCAACCGAACTCCCAGCATTCGGGGAATAGAACCGCCGGGCCAATATGAAAAAGTAACACGGATTACCAATTATAAATCCTAATAAGCGCTCATCACAGGAAGATAATGCCAGTGAAATCTGAAAAAATTCTAGAAACTTTCTTCAGGATATTTATATAAATTCTAGAACCACGTCGGTCCAATAGCCTACAAGAGCAACCGCCGCAATGAGAAGTGGAGCATTCTAGAATGTTACAGGGACACTGTCAGGGGGAAAGGTGACATTTTCGAATTAAATGGCAGTCCGAGGTCAGAGCAATGGAGCTTATAAATATATAAGTGAAAGTAATTTGATTTTTGAGCACACAAACGACGATTAACTGATGAAACGATGCTTACTTGCCACTCCAAATAGAACTTCTTTTCACGTATTAAATCCAAGAAAAGATTTTAAGAGTTCGGCAAGGTAACTAGCCTAGTGGAGCGGATCTTTTCGATACGTAGAGACGAAAGATTGAATTTATACTTGCAGAATTTTCTTTTCGAATTTGAAACTTAAGCCTAAATTCTTACGTTATAGAAGTTGGCCAGGTTCGCCCTCTGAGCGGCATCGTCGAAAAGTAAGTAGTACTGATGCACGAACGATCTACCTATCGTGTCGTACTGCGGATTCAAACTCATTTTCGGTACGAATTCCTCTCGCCTACTTTTCCTTCACTCTTGGCAACCGTTATTCGCATCCACCTCTGTTAGGCTTAGCACACGGTCGACTCCCCCTGGCGGCGTCCATCCGCGACGATTTTCTATCGTGGAAGAAATTACTTCCGTTGTAATTTTTATACCGATAGTTATTTATATACATGAATTGTTATTATTTACTTTCTTTTCTAACGATGTAATAATAAATACACTAATTTGCGATAGATTATATATTTTGGTATAAGAGTTTGACGGCTCGGATGGCCGAGCGGTTGGGATGGTAGCCTACCTATATGGGGATCCGGAATCGAAAAATCCCAGGAATTTTTCACGGGGGTGGTCTGTCCGGATATGTCGGGTCCCGTCCATCACCGCTTCATTGTGAGCTGGCCGAATCCATAATAGGCTTGCTAAAACAGGCCCTCTTAGTGCCCACAGGGCAGAAAGAGTTAAACGAATACAGTATTTAGAATTCCCGTTTGTTCCGAAAGCTTTTAATACTGAATAAAACCGCCGAACAATGGTGGTTAGTTGTGAGTTAGTGCCCCGCCAACCACCGGTGTTGTTTTTGAGGGTTTTAAATCTCCAATACTTTTCTGTTTACAGATTTTTACACTTTCTCAAATAGAATTCCATTCAACTTTCATACTAAAACTGCCTTATTTAACACGTGCTACTGGCGATGAGTTTTCTGGATTATATTCACCTTATCTCTCGTATTTTCCATTTTTGTTTATTGTTCTTGTCGGTTCGGTTTCCGTTTTTGCTTTGTCTACTCGTCCTCGAGTTTACTACCGTAAATTTTGATAGTTTTGAGCAAATTCAATGTTTCAATTTAGCGCGTAATTCATCGCGGTATTTCTGTATACCAGTGATTCTTAACCAGAGTTCCTGGGCTTGGAAGGGTAAACTGTACATAAATAGATGCATTTCGAGTCGACTTACATTTTACAATACTCATACGTCGCTCTTAATTTTAGTTACTGATGAGGGACCGTAAAATGTAAGTTGGCCCAAAATGCATCTAGTTACGAAGACTAAAAAATTATATACGTATTCTATTACTTTTAAATTATTTTATGTAAATCTCATTAATTTTATTGAAGTTAACACAAATTAAAGTTCAAGTAGCAATTTTTGCTAGTGGTAATCAATGACGAAAATGGACTTGTAGATCGTCGTAACTGATGGATACTCGAGTAATCTCAACCACTTCAACGACCTTGGATGGATGGTATCACCTGTATTCTTACACCATGGTTACTATTACGCATATTCAACGTAAATACGTTAGTGATAAACTAATCGGATTTGTATTTGCCTGAATCCCAGCTTTCAAATTGCTAAAATTTCATTCATTACAAATTTACCACGATTTTTTCTTGTCACCCGTGTTTCTTATGTTCGCTGTTTGTTTGTTAAGTTATGGCAACGCAACACTTGGACGATCTGCCTAGGGGAATACTCTCACCTGTCTCCCTCACTTTGCCCCCCTTTTCACCCCCCTCACTCCCATTTCACCAACTTTTCTCCTCCAACCTCCAGGTCGTACCTATGAGTGGAACCTGGAGGCACCCCCCCTCTTTCAATTAAAATGCCTTCCGAGAGATCTTTTTAAGGGAAACTGGCCCCTATTTAGGCTTTACAGACGTGGAGAAAACCCGGAAAACGCCACGTGGCCAGCCCGTCCGAGCGAGGTGCGAACCCACGACCGAAAAGTACCTCTACGTTTGTACTAATTTCAAAAATGATTTACAGTAAAATCTGTGTAAACCGGACTCGCACGATACCGAATATTTTTTCCGGTTGGCAGGTTTCGTTTTAACACAGAAAATCGCTGCGTTTCGAAGAAATGCCACTTTACACTAAAACTTCTATACTAACAAAACAATTGCTCTTTCGCGATCATTCCTCTCCTACGAGTTACGTGATTTTACGATGTGTTTTACGTCATAAATTCTCACGACTCTGACTCAAAAATAAACTTTTTACCGCTCCTAAAGGCCACTAATTACCAACCTCAAATTAATGGCATAGTTACAGTTTGAGTCGCCCTTTCTTTGAGAAATACATAATATACATCAAACCTATTTTAACATTTCTAAATGAGTCATATAATTTTTGTAATTGTTAACTCTCGTAATCGCTGATGATTTTACTATTATTATTAAAAAGTCTAATATTTATAATGCCAAAAAAAATGGCCGCACCTTCGCCCACGAGAATTCATTTTCAAATTCAAATTGAAGATTTTTTTTCTCCCCATTTGCAAGTAAACTCACGCCTTGAGTCCTATTTAGAAATTTATTCCTTAACAGTCTTACTTTTAACGCAAGTATCTAAGACATTCGATTATTCGAAGAAAATCGAACGAAAGAATTATCTACGGCGGAATAACGAGTTTTTCGAATTAAACGAAGGAATAATGCATCGAATGTGGATTATACTCTTCATTTTCCTCCAAAAGGATTGTTTTGGAGTGTTTTCACGCAACGAAAGTGAATATTCCCATTATTTAAATGCCACAAATGGCACTACCATAGAAGAAAATCCTTCCTGGACGGAACCTTCTACCAGCGAATGGAAAATGCAACGAAATCGAACGGAGTGGATGAAAACGGAAATCCACGCTTCCGAAGGATCTACTTCCGATTTCCACTGGTCACGCTCGAACGTCACTCTTCCGAGTGAAACAGGAAACGAAATTTCGTACCCTGACATCAGAAATCAGACGAAAGCGCAACTCTTGGAAACAGACTCGTATCAGGGGTCCAACGGCACTACAGAAGACTCGATTCGTGTCATTAATTTCGGTAAGGAACGAAAAGTTCCTGGAATAATCATTCTAAAGCTCACTCTGGGCATTTCTTTCGTCTTCGTCTTCCTACTGGTCTGCACACAGACCGTCAACCATTTCCACAACACCTGCGGAAAACAATTACCGGAGGAGGAAGATACCTTCGCTTCTATAGAGATGAAAGAATTGTCACGTGTCGTCGGAGATGGAAGGGATTTAGACCACTTTATTCATAAAAATCCTGAAGGTTTTGTCCAGAAAAATGAAAATGAAAAATTGTAATACTTAACAATTTATTATAAGTAAGAAATTAATCAGAGATTAAAATTACAATGACAATTTTGTAAGATTTGTATGCACTAAATTTGGAGAGAACACTTTTAAATATCATTTTTTGACAGATAAAATGTTTGTGTAAAACGTGAAATTCCATTACAATATGAAATAAATGTTAAAAGGAATGTAGAATGACATCATATTGTCTAGATATCACTTTTCAAACACAATAATTAGGAAATTTTTAAAATAATTTGCTAAGTAATAAAGATGTAAATTTACAACTTAAAGAAATACTTTATTTAAGAATGGCTTAGACCGAAATCTGATCGTCTTTACCAAATACAATATAAAAACTTGAATTTGTAGCAAAATACCCGTTAGATCATTCCAAAATTTTCTTATGCTCATCCCATTTAGGCTGTGTGATGCAGGGCCAACCTGAAAACGTCGTGTTCTACATAGAATCCGTCTCCCAGAGGTTTGAGCACAAAAGTCTGATTGAAGGTGTGAGGCGGATCGTCGTCGGTCTGAAATTAAAAATTTCAATTAGTGAGAGTACTTATTTTGTGGGTTAAAAACAAAAAAAATGTGTATTTTTAAAAACAGAACTGGATAAAAAATAAATAAAATTTTAATACAATACACGTATAAATGATTCCTTAAAATTCAAATGAATTCTTCAACTCTATATGAGCAAGAAAAATTCTTATATAAGCGAAGAATAAAATAAATATTTTAGGCCTTCTAATTACAACTACCGATGGAGAAACAATTTGATTTTACCAAAAATTAAGCACAGTTTTGGAAGAGATGCACCAATCTATCAACTTATATATAATTGGAATGCCTTAAAAGAAGAATATAAAGATTTGTGTACTTACGGACAATTTAAACGGGCTGTAAAAATATTGAGATGTGATTAGTTGAGTGTATTTTTTTTTTTGTTTTTTATGTATTTCTCTTCTCTGTTTTTTATTTTTATTTTTGTTGATTGTGTACTTTGTAAATGTTTGTATCATTAGTTTTTCTTTTGACCCTCGAAAAAGGCCAATGGCCATAGGGTCGTATGATTAAATATGATTAAAAAATATAAATATATTAGAGCTCCAAGATTCCGACTTGGATGTGGTGAGCAGGTTTAGACTCTCACCACATCCAAGACTCTAGACTGAGTTACAGTATGTCCGCAGCATCCTTGCTACAGACAGATAGATGCTGAACAGGTCAGAGGATAAGCGGGATCACTAGTCTCCAGATTGGGAATTGTAAGTGGGGCTAACACCCCCACAATGTAAAAACTATCATTGTTAAAAAAAGACAAAAGAAAAGGCAGGCAGGATCTAGAAGTGATGGGCAGGCAGGATCTAGAAAAAGCCTATGATAGAGTAAATATGGAGAAACTGGCAAATTTTGTGATTATGGAGTGAGAGATAAACTACCAAAAGGTGTGAGAACAATGTATGAAAACACCAAAGCAGGTGTATGCATGGATTGTAAAGTATCTGAGTGGTTCACAATTTAAGAGGGTGTAAGAGAAGAGTGTGTTATGTCACCATGATTTTTTAATATTTTCATAGATGCATGCATGAGGAGATCCAAAGTGCCTGAGTATGGAATGCAAACCGGAAATGAATGATTGTTGTTTGTTGTAGCAGATGACACCATGCTATTAGCAGAGAGCAAGGAAGAGCTTCAGACACTTGTGTCTAATCTTGAGGCATATGATGGATATATGCTGTGAGTGAATGTGAGTAAAACTAGGGTGATTTGCTTGAATGCAAAGGTGAGCAAACAGATTGCATGATTGAGATGAGTGATGAACAACTGGACACAAGTGAAGGAGTTTGTATATTTGGGAAGCATGATAGATGAATAGGATAATGATAAAATTATCAGAAGAGTGAATGCAATGAGTAGACGTGCAAGGGATAAAGGGCACAAATGGCTATGTGTGAGAGAGTCGTGGTGTCTGTACTCAAGTACGGTAGTAAAACTTGGATATGGTAGGAGTCACATTACTGCATGTGAGATGAGGTATTTGAGAGGAGTGTGTGACATAATGAGGAGAGAATATGTTAGAAATGAATGTATGTTGAGGAATATGGGGTGAAACAGTATGATTCAAAAGAGGAGTAAATTGGCTCTATGATGGTTTGGCCACATTAAAAGAATGAAAGGAGGAGAACTGTTGAAGAGAGTATGTGGGAAAGTTGAATGGAAAGCATGGTAGGGGAAAGGCTGAGAAAGTCTTGGTTGGAATATGTAGATGAATCTGAAAGAACATAAGGTGTTAAGTCAGAAAGAGAATGTGGGAAAGTATGCTAAGAGTAGAAGCATGAATGTGTCTGAAGAAAAACAAGTGTGTCTGAACAGGAAGATGTGAGGAAAGTTATTGAATGGATGATTTGTAGAGTGGTAGTCTCCTTTTGCCTGCTGCTCAGCTTTTTTGGATTATGAGCTTGAGGATATGCATGTTTGTAGAAATATTTTATATTATATATATAATATAATATATATTTTAACTTATATTATAGAAGTTTATATTCCTTGTACATCAGTAAAGATTACCCAGCATTTACATAATAACAAATTAACAAAAATTTAAACAAGTAGTCCTAATTGTAAAAACAAATATAGAGTAAGGTCACAAGAGTATGCAATGTATGAGTACAAATTTTAATTTTCATGATGCTGAAGATGATTAATTGTTTGATGCTACACAAAGTTTGTGGAGGAAGATTGTGTTTCAGTAAATTGTGAATCTTTAAACTGATTCTTGTAATTTTAACAGCTATGTGACACTCTTGAGTTTCTTATTTCAAAGTGTAAAATATTTAGGAAGTTCTCAGATCTTATTGGAAGTGATGTTTTTGTTTGTTGATAGAAATTATGTTGGTTTTTTAGTTGAAAGTTTTGGCGAGATTTGCTGCAGCATGTGTAGAATATGCTGCCGACTATAATGTTTCTTCTGAATTCAGACAGATGCATTTGAGTATGCACTACTATCAGAGGTCCTGATGACGCATACTCAGACTTTATAAAATGTTAAGTCTACATTTATTTTATTTCTTCAGATATAAAAATGAGGGTTTTAAGAGAAAGTGACCGAAAATTATTTTTCACAACACTTTAGAAAGTTCAAAAATAGATTGCTGAAAGAGTAGTAGTAATTCAGATATTTTATCTGAAATCAGAACAAACTTCTTTATAAATTATACTATTATATTATACAACTGAATTGTTCAGAAATTTTGATCTTAAACTTAAACATATTAGACTTTATACCAGATAACTCTAAAATTAGAATTTCAAGAAATTTGGTTACTATTGTTTCCACATCAGTTCATCTGAAGAATTTTTTAATGAAAATTATTTACCTTAATTGAAATCAGGTAAACTCATAATATCAATAATTGTTTATTAACTTATCCTTCCTGTCTATGCCAGCTTTAATCAACATCCCATTGTGGAAAATAATATATCATCAATCCATAAAATACAGTATATTGAAAAGAGCTATGATTCATCTTGCTGTATGGTATTCTCTGAATGTTGTGCTGGTTGCAGATAGTAGCAAAATAGGCTGCACCATTCTGCTACTAAAATTCCCTGAAAAATTCCTGGAATTTTTTGACCCATCTGGATTTGATTCCAGGTCTCCAGAGCAGTAAGCTATTATTATCTTAATGATTATGTCAGTAAAGAAAAATATATATAGTCACTCTTGAGGATATAGAAGAATTAGTATGCACAACCTTGGAGTAAGTCTTAATTAACAAAATAATTCAAAGATTGTATATAGATCAATGAGTATAGGGCATGCTGCAAATGTATGGTAAAAAAAAACTGACACAGCATATAAAAATAACATTAGATTAAATGTTTCAAATAAGTTTATTGCATAACTTCATTTTTAATGCTTTTTCCCCTACATAATTTGCTATTCTTTTGGTCTAAAAAACAGTTAAATTTAAAAATGTATTAATTTTAATTTTTAATTTGTTCTTTGTTTGATCTTCCATCATACTGTGTCTGTTACAAGCATTCATACATTGAATGTTTTTGAATCTGAGCTCCTTTAGTTACTGTTTAAACATAACATCCAAAGATGAAGAAGAAAAATTCCTTAAAAGCATTTAATGAATTCATAAATGTAAATTCTTGATGTAAACCAAATGTATGATAGAGCACATACTTCTAGCAATCTAATAAAAGTTATTGAGAACAACTATTACTTCAATATCAGAGTTAACTTGATAATATCAGGAACTAATTAAATAATTTAAAAATAAACAAACACCTTTCACTAGTCCAGCACAACGTATTAAACATTGTGCTGGACTAGTGAAAGGTGTTTGTTTATTTTTAAATTATGTAATAATGCAGAGACAAAATAATATATCATTTAATCCTTTTCAGGCTTATCGTTAAGGGTCATTCAAGTTAAAAATCATAAAAATAAACTTGATAAATATTCAGAATTTGTTGAAAACACAATAATTTAATAATTTTGATGAGAATGAACAGATGAAATGATTTGCCATATTGATCATATTTTGTCGATACATTTTTATTTCAAATTTTTATGGTTTCATTTGTATTTAATAAACCATTTTGTACATTATTTTGTTTTAAATCAATGTTTTTTTTTTTTTTTATTTACCTTAAGTTGGCCTAATACAGAAATTAAAATTCCACCATCAAACATAGGTTCTGGATCAATAGATGTTATCTGATGTTGAATTTTTTGAAAAGTCAAGCCCTAAAATTATAAAATAATCAAATTATTAAAATAATCAAATTATTAAAAATATATCAATTATTTCTTAGGATTTACATTAAAAATAAAAAACCAATATTATGTAAAATACATTATTATATTTGTATTTTAAAAAAACTTATTTACTAGAAGATATGTAAAATTTTATATTTTAATGAATTTAATAAATAAAACAGTAGATTATTCTAACTTCATTTAAAAGTTATAACTATATAAATAAAATCAGATACATTTAAACTGTAACAAACTGAACTTTTCATCATATCATTTTATGAAAGAAAATATAAAAACAATATAAAATAGATATCAATGCTGATACAAAAATGTCAATAGGTATAAATATATATGTCATATATCTCCCACTGCTTTACAATAGGGAGGGACATATTTCATGGAAAATTTATGCAAAGAGGGTGATGACAAAACAATTATTGGTTTAAATAGTGTCAGTTAACTTATAAAAAGACCAATTAATCAGAGTTTAGATTGCAAAACAGACAATAATGAAAGATATAGCTTGAGATCAAATACAATATCCAACAGGATAACTTGAACAATTATTTATGCACTAATCATATCCAGTCAGATATGTCAGCAATTATAATATTGAAAAAATTGACAAATTAGAAACAGTTTTGAGAGTTGAATCGGGTAAAGCAGCTGTCCCAGATAGTATTCCTATGGAATGTTGGAAGTTGGGTTGGCAGATAGGTGTCTATTAAAGAAATTATTGTATTTTTAATGAAATATTGAAGACAAGAGTATATCCAGAAAGCTGGAAAATAGCTCAAATATTTCAAATTTTTAAACTGGGATGTAAATAACCTGAGTAAATACTTTATTGAATACTGTTAGTAAGGTTTTTTTCAATGGTTCTTTGTAGGAGGCTTGTTATGTTATGTTATGGGCTGAGAGAGAGAGAACTTTATCTGACATGCAAGCTGGTTTTCATAAAGGAAATACTACAGTGGATTATATATTCATTTCATGAAATTTGTTAAAATAAAAGCTAGCAAATAACAAAGAAAAGCATACACTTACTTTGTGGACTAAAGAGCTGCATTTGACTTGGAACCATGTGAAATTATGGAATAGGTTGTGCAAGTCGAAGATGAGTTATAAAATGGTGAATTTACTAAGATTGATGTATATGAATATGACTGTATCAATGTTTTAAATAAAATATCTACATAGTTTTCTTTTATTGTAACAAAGGAGTTTGGCAAAGGTGTCAATTGAGCCCACTGCCGATTTCTTTTATATATTGAAGGTTTGGTAACAAGATTGTGTGAAAAATATAATGATTTATGATTATGCAATAATACATATATTATGGTTTTTTTATATGCTGATGACATGGTAATGGTGGCTGATAGTCTGTTAGAATTACAATTGGTAACTGATGGTTTGCAGAGGCATTCCATAGAGATAGATTTGCAATTACACTCTTCAAAAGTGAAATCGCAACACCGTGAAGAAATGTGCATAACCACATGTAAATTGCAGAACCAGTAGATGTGACAGAGATATACAAATGATTATGTTTAGGTACACATCAAGTCATGTGGTACCCACTTTCACGCTATAAAGACCAGTGGCCAGCTCTGGACATAAATGCTTTCAGCAATGATTCCTAGCAGCTGAACTTTTGAAGTATAGCAAATGCCTCAGAGATGACCACAAGTCAAATACCACCAGTTAATGACTGAGGAATGAAACTTGAGACTATCCTGGAGCTACACAACCTTGGTTTGTCAATGCATGTAGTTGCCACATGTGCTAGGCACAACATGAATACCATCCAGTGATTTGTGTGACATGATGGATACATGAACATCTGCAAACATGCTGAAGAGGGAGTAGATCATACCAACACACAACACAGTGCACAGACTGGGAAAGATTGGCCAAATGGCCCATTGGCCCCAGCACATGATATCCAAAGCAACTTGTTGTCATAAACAGGAGCATCTGTGTACACCAAAACCTTTTACAACAGGTTGCATGAAGTCTGGCTACATGTATGGAAACCATTAAATGCTCAACACAGGGCTGCATAGTTGGCATGGTGTTGTCATAGCAATTGTACCACTAAATGGCATCATGTATTGTTTATGGATGAATCCCACTTGTCTGTGAAGGAATGACAACCATGGACAAGTGACAATATCCCAGGAAATGCTACATACCAACCTTTTCACAGAGCATCACACTGGCCCACACTGGGCATTATGGTTTGGTGTGGCATCACATTCAATCAGCAGACAGCCCTGGTGCACATTTCCAGTACTCTGATAGCAGACCAGTACATCACACAAACTGTGGAGCCCATGGTTTGACCACTGGTACAGACTGCACCTGACACAGTATTCCAGTAAGAAAATGCTCGACTTCATGTTGCGTGACAAACTCTCACCAACCTGAATGGAACTCACATCTAGAATAATTATTATGGAAACAGATGTGTGCTATTCTTATTTTTGACCAATAACACCAGTTAGAGACTTAACAATTTTGTCAAGTCTCTTTTTATATATCCAACTTTAAAATTAATAATCATCTGGTTGATTATTAATTTTTAATTACCTGTTTATTCAGTAATGAATAGGTAATCAACTATGTATATTAACATATTCATTACTGAATAAACAAGTGTCTATTGCATATCTGTGTTTGTTCTTTTAATCATTTGCATATGTCTCTCATCTCTATCGGTCCTGCAATGTGCATGTGACTATGCACATTCCTTTATAGTGTTGTGATTTCATTTTTGAGACGTGTATGAATGACCATTTTGAAATAACAGCTAGGAAAACAAAAGATGCTTGGTGAAATTATGTAAATTATTTAATACATCAGCATTATTTAAGAATATTGGGGCTATCAAAGGACAGATTACCCAGAATCAATATGGAAAGAATATGGATAAAAGTGGATAGTAGATCATGGTGGATGGACTTCAAAAGTTGGTTGGAATGGCTAGGATTTGGTGAAATTGTCATGAATAGACAAGATGATATGAGGAGAGAGCAGATACCAATCATAGTGATGAGATGTATCAAATTGGAATTACAAGAGACGAGGAGACTGTTAAACAATTCTGTTAATATTGTTTCTATTATAATATTCTTAAGCTCAATTTTGGAATGGCATGTTATTTAGGAGAGAGCAGATTTAGTAAGTTGGCAATGAAACAAATAGCTAGAGTAAGGCTAAATTGTGTTACATCAAGGAAAAATCATCCTGCGCGCATATTGTGTAATCAGTTGCGTAAATATAGTGATTGGTGTTTACACATATACTTTAGTTGTAGAAATAATATGTATGGCAAGTATTTAAATATGTTATATGGTAAATGCAGTTTTCAGGATTTGTTTTAATTTATTAATGTGTTGGACTATTTATTATAGTTTTTTTGTTCCCTCTTTGATGTGAATTTAATTTAATGTCAAATAAATTCAATTCAAATACAATACATTTATTTCTATCTGAATCTAATATGCTATTCAAATTTCTTGTCTTGTGTATACAACAAACAGTTATAGCTACTAAGTTAATAAAGGATATCATTCAAAACATCAAAAACAATTTACTTACTTGAATTTTTTCCATTATTTTTGCTCGTCCAAATAATTGCTGACCCTCAAATGTCATGAGACTTTTTTCTTCCTATTCAAAAAAATATTCAGTTATTATTTAATTAAAACACCGCTAACTACCTTTTGGCATTTATTTAATGATACATAAATGTTTTCAGCCTAATTTATAGGCCACGTGCAGGTGATACAGTTTGGAACATTGATTACTAACAGTTCCAAAATATAATAGCCTATCATAGATATAGAACATTCAAACAATCTATATTTAAATATGTCAATATAAATTGCAATATCTACTTCTAATAAATAGTTCTAACATAAAAGATAAAACTAGATTTGTAAATTTAAAATACAATTGTTTATATTGTGGTAAATGAGATTGGAAGGAACTAGAAGTTTCCACATAGTAGCTTCTTTTTTTACGATGAACTTTATGCTGACAGTAAACCTTCTTCATCTCTGACATTAATCCATCAAATTACTCTTATATATTTCAATTTTTACAGGTCTCAGCATCAATATTGAGGAAAATAAAGTAGTCTTAATTATATCTGCTTCATCCTATTTTACCATATAGCCTTCAGCTTGAGACACTGTGGATAGTGCCATATTGCAAAATTCATTTTTAACAATATATCGTTGGTATACAAGAATAGTGACACAACTCAAAAAAAATAGTTCTTCCAGAACAGCCATTTAAAAGTTTCTTTTATTTCTGCAAGGCTTTGTCATGATCTTAGATTTTTAAATTTTCAAATGTTTATTTCGAAAAAAGATTGAAAATTTTAAAAATCAAGATCATGACAAAGCCTTGCAGAAATAAAAGAAACTTTTAAATGACTGTTCTGGAAAAACTATTTTTTTGAGTTGTGTCACTATTCTTGTGCACCAACGATATGCTCTTTAACTCTAACTCCCAGGTTAGTAGCAGTCAAATATGCAAATAATTCACAAATGCATAAAAATAAACACAAATTAACAGAGACTAAACACAATCCATAACAGAAACAATTCACATGCACACTACTCATTTTTCATTTCTGGCTCTTCCCACCCAACAGGCACCAAGAGAGCTTCTTTTCCACTGCCGCGGGTTTGACCCAGCAGCGAGGGGCCGTACCAACGTCGACCGGCCATCCACAAAAATTTCTAAGGAGTCACCACCCATCAGAGTTCAATCTTGGGCACTGCCGGTATAAAAAAAAGTCATATTCGATAACAAAACTCGTTCAATTCCATCAGAGTATTGAGGTACAGTACACATTAGATTTGTTCCGAACGTTTTGCATATCATCCAGAACTAAAATCTGCAAATACCTGTTTGGAATATTCAACCTATAACCCTCACAGGGCGACAGTGCTTCGAGACAGAGGTAAAATCATGCGCAATAACCAAGCCACTACTTTTATCGATTTGTTTTCTTCTTCTCTTTTTTGTCGGATAATTTCACACAGTCATACGTTTTATCACCACTTTACAAGCACACCCAGATGATATAAATTACCCGGATGTAACCACATTCATCTGCAAGATTTAACTTCTTCGAAGCTAACAGACAAGTTAACGGTTCAGTTCAAGCTATAAACGAGATAGTCGAGACCTTATTAGAGCCGTAGAGCATATCCAAAGCAGTAAAAAAAAAGTCAAAGGAACCATACCTCAATGGGCAACTCTTGGCGAGATACAGCCCTCAAAATCAGGTCATTCCACTATGACTATTGCATTTCACTTTTTAGCCCACACAACTATGCTGACTTCAAATAGCCCACTCGACCGTTCGGAACGAGCAACGTTTTATAGCTTTAGGGGGATGTGGGGCTCTCTCCCAAGGTGCAAGCAACAGCGAGCACCAAAGCACACGACTCCACACTCCACATCAGTCAAGGCAAGCAATGGGGAGCCTCGACCAACGCGGAGCACGGTTAATGGGAAGTATACGAATACACGTTAAAAGCTGACCTTAGGAGGTGAAGAATCACATGTACAGGTATAGTTCCTTTTCGCTCGTATAGGGGGCCTACAATTCTGGGGATGAGAAGCCCCACGTTCAGAGCTTCCAATTTAACCATTTAATCGAAAAGGTTTACATTAATTAACGATTTCTGATCGCAAACAGTCGTTGATCTTTTAACGGCTTCAAAAACATGACAGGTAAGATAAGGTGAGATAAAACTTGCAAATTTCTACATTTAACATATCGTAATATAAACTACTTACATTATAGAAATTGGCTAAATTTGCCCTTTGAGCGGGATCGTCGAACATTAAATAATATTGATTGACGAAAGATCTTCCGATCGTATCAAATTGCGGATTCAAACTCATCTTCGTACGAATTTACCACGTTCTTTTTTTGCCGCTCGAACTTACGCTACCTGGTGGCGTTTTAAGTGATTGTTCGATAATCAAATTCATATTTTTACATAAATATCTTTGTCTTTTGACGATCAATATTAATCTTACAAGACTTACATTTAAATTTCTTCTGTAGGTGTAACCTCTGTAATCTATAATCTTTGCAATCCCTCAGCTCTCTTGGTTAGGTCAACGAGTAGAAATTAGATCCAAATTAAACTAATAAAATTCAAGATTATTTTTTAAATTTTTTCTTTTGCTTAATATGTAACTTACAGAAATGATAACTCGTTAAATCATAAATTACAATAGATCAATACTTAATTATAGTGTCTGTTTGAGTCTATATAATTAATTGTGATTTTAATATTGATTTAANATTTTTTTATTATAATTAAAATTACGTTTAAATCTGGAAATCGAACCGGGTCCCTCAGAGCGGTAGGCTGATATCTTAACCGGATTCGGAATAATCGTTTAGTTTTCATCTGTTGGCATACAGACTCCAGGATCTGTAGTATGGCCAAATTTCTTTCGAGAAAGTTTACCACATGATAATCAAAAACACGCAATTTTTGAATAATAATAAATCCGCTCGACACTCTTACGATTACAAAAACGATATCAAATAAGGGAACGTTATCATTAGTCGAGAAATAATACAAAAATAGTAAATAAGTGGGCCTAATTAACATTTTTAACAATGTTGAAAAAAAACAAAATATACTGTAACAATATAATAAGTTTACGGTACAAAATAATAAGGTTACGGCTTCAAAATCAAACAATATAGTTTTAAAGAACATTAAAAAGTGTATTTGAGAGAGAGTGTTTATTTTTTACTGTTAAACATACAGATAACCCCTCATTATAGCAAACAATTTGAAGTCCAATTTGGCCACTTGTAAGACTTAGCTTAAGAACTGTCAATATAAATTTCAGAATATCAAAGGTTTTTTCGCTATGCAGAACACTCCCATCATATTAAAACACTGGGATGGGTTCGACGAAAATGATTATGAAGTTCCATACATGACTGGACAAAAGGGAAATGTCTAGAAGATGCCTTAGATTAAGGCCTGTGTGGTGGGTGGACTGGGTTATTTGTTACCCATGTTAGAATATTCCGGAAGTACCCAGTGAAAATCCATAAATGAGTGGATGACACCAGTGACAGGATCTTTCAGACCATAGGCCAGGAATGCCACCACCAAATAAGATGTGTACAGAGATGATACTAGGAAGTTACAAGAAGGAGAATGTAAATATGAGTTTTATATTCAACGAATCCTTACACTACTTTAGTATCAAATGGGTAATATACTTTACTATGCTGTTGATATGATCCATCAGTCACTGAAAATAATGTTGTCAGACTTCATAATGAAATATGACAAAGGGAAAAAATGCAACCAATTTTCATTGTTCAAAAAGCTTCTTTCTACAAGAAATTGATTCTGAGTAAAAATTAGATGTTGCAAGAGAGTTTGGCATCACCCTTTCCATTCTGTCAATGATTTTAAAAGATCATCCAACATTGAAAAAAGTTAAGAAGATCCAATGTTGAGTCCAGCAAGAATAAAACACATAGCACACAATTTGAGGATGTGCAGAAAGTTATTTTCATCAGGTTACAAGATGTTCAAGCGTGCTACTGTCCCATAGGCAGTTCCTTGTTATTACAGGGAATTTTTGAAAAGTATGGAATTATCTCAAAATCTTTATGCAGAGAAACATTGATGTTTCATTGCACATAGCATATGCATGGACTACAGACAAGATACAATATTTAAGTACAGCACAGATGACATTTTCAATCCTGATGAAACAGATAGTTTATTCCAACTGCTGCAGAGGAAGCAAAAATGCTAAATAGCGATTAACAGCCATGTTTTATTGCAGTACCTCAGGTAAGAAATGATTTTGTCATTACACTACACTGCATTCTTTCATCCCTTTTATCCTAAGAAGGATCAAGTACTGATATCCACTGTACATGACATAGATATGGAGAATATGGGACCCTTAATCATTGCAAAAACATCAAGAACATGTTGTATTATGTGAACAATGTGTGCTCTACATACTGCAAACTGCCAAGATTGGATGATACAGAGCATTTTAAATAAATAGTTGAACTGGAAACTATATTAAAAGATGAAACAAAAGTAAAGAGTCAGCTGTCAGATGACAAGTGCTTGGTTTGAGTCCTATCTGGAAAATGTGCAAGTTGAGTGCTTTCTACACTGCTGTTCTACAGCTGATCTGGAATAATCCATACTGTACAGGCTGAATATTGATTATTTTTTTCAACATCGATAACTGTGTCTAGAGAAAGATAAACAAGCTGTTGAAAGACTGCCGCAGCATGTGCACCTGTCATGAATTTTATCACACTATATTTTGTCTGGTAGCATTAGAAACCACAAAATGTCACAGGTTCTCTAACAATGGTGTAGGAAAACAAAGTTAAAAACTACTATTAACCTTTTTCTAGTTCAAAGTATATAGATTATACTAAATAATATTAGTTAATGGTGATGTCCCTTCCATTAACTGTCAGAATTATTATTACTGTTTGAACAAAATATAATTTTTAACAGTCTACCAGCAAAAGTATTTATTAACATAACATTATTTTCAGGATTATGATGGATAAAATTCATGAAAATGATTAAAAACAAGAAACTGCAATTTTCAAATGAAATATAAAGTGAAATTTAACAATTAATATGGTGTATAACTTCTCTGAGGACAAAATTGACCATTGGTTAACGTCAATACTTAAAGACGATTTCACAGATAGCGATGCTAATGTGAGTTTATCATAATATATTATTTACCAAATGGTTTTCTTTAAAAACAAGCAATTATTTATTGTGACATTGTCACAATGTTGGAGTGCAATTTCTAATCATATTTTTAATTTAAAATATATCCTCTCCACCTCAAATTAATAATGACTTGCCCCTGGTACATCACACTTTTCCTTTAACAACTTGTGCCAGTCATATCTCTAACACCTTCCAAAGGAAGATTTTAATTGAAATAATGCAACTTCCGGTTTGCATCGGAAGTTCTTATATAGTTAATTGGGGCCTTCTCCCACTAAGGTTTCCGTTCTCGAAATTAAGGAAAGACAAATCGAATTTATAGGTCTACAAATTGCAGTCCAAAAATCTTAATATGTAAATCTTATTACTTTTCATAACTTGAATCATAAAAGAAAGTAAAAAGAAATTGAAATAAGTTAATGACAGTGGCATGTTATAGCTTCACGAATCTCATTTGAATTTGAATTATTTATGTCCCACCCAGGCAATTGCATTTTTTGCCCATAGGATAACACGCCACTGGTTAACAAAATTATTTTTTGTATATTTTTATTGTTTGATATACTGTTTAGTGTATAACGTTACTATTGCAAATTTAAATTGGTTTATTAATAATTTTATACAATGTTATACAATATAGAAGTCTTATGTATTGTTATACAATACATAAGACTTCTATTCGTAAGAACTTTAATGATACATTAATACAAAATAACACAACTTTTATATTCAAAATTAATTTAATTATAATGAAAATTTTAATTGCAAAGTTACTTTAATGCTATTTTAAATACGCATTCAACAATTTATTTTTATTACAACTGCCACATAAACACATACGGCACACTAAATATAGCATAATGGCACCCGTATTCGAATGTTTACAGCTGTTATAAAATTTGATATTTTTATTACAACCTGTAGAAGCACAAATAGAAAAATTCATATATGAAAATAAAGATTGTTCTACACTTTCCATCAAAACAAAACACAGTTAAATACAACAGCAGTCGGCAATAAGCGGAAAAATAGCTTCATATAATTCTTCATAAGTATTTTTTGCATATTGTAAAAAATATATAAATTTCATATACGATTTTAAAATATTACTCCTAATTTTTCCAATTATTAAGCATCTCGAGAAGCAAGTTTTAAAGGGTCTAAATCAATATGTTTACAAACAATTCCTTGTAAAATTGTTAAGACCATTCAGTAGAAAATTATCACCATATACTTATCAATAGTTGTCTTTTCAGGTGCTGTTAGGGTTTTCTGGCTTTTCGTTTTCTGCATATTATGCCAGTTAATCGACTAATTA